AATTCAAAAGCTGATGACTGCTATTTCATGGGATATGTTGGACGCAATGCTTATCGAGTTTACAACAAATCCACCAAACAAATCGTGGAGTCATTTGATGTGCGTTGGCTGGAAGAGAATGCAACAGACGCTCGAGTTGGACCAGAGTGGTTATTTGATTACACTTCTTTTTTAAATCATTTAATGTGTTTTCAGATGATGTTTCAGGTACATGCTCAGGTTTGAGTGTAGTTGTTGAAGATGATTCCTGAATCACCTATAATGGATGCAGCTACACCAAGTACACCTCCTTCCTCACCAGTCCAAAAGGCTATTTCCACACCGAAGCCATTCCCCTTACTCCCGAAGAAGCTGGGATTCTCTTAAGGTAAAATGTAACTGCCACACAAACTTTCATGGAATTTCTCTTTCCAGAGCCATTCACAAATGAATTTGTGGCAAGTACTTCTTATGATTATAGACCGTCTGAAGGGGTGATTCGGCAGCGGGCAGATTTGACAACATCACAAATCTTCCAGTCACAGTCAATGATATCAGCCATCCAATCCCAACCAGAGTTCAACGTGATCATCCTATCCAGAACATTATTGGTCCACTAGAAAGCGGGGTTCATACCAGAAGTCAAAGCGGAGATGTTAATGAGTGTCTTTACTCGTGCTTCTTATCTCAAATTGAACCAAAGAATATGTACATGGCTCTAAATGAACCGAGCTGGGTGGATGCAATGCATGAAGAGCTGAATCAGTTCGAGAATTTGAAAGTATGGCAGTTGGTAGAGCTACCGAAGGGCAAGAAGTCTTTGAATACACATTGGGTGTTTAGAAATAAGCAATATGATAGCGGGGTAATTGTGTGCAACAAAGTTTGTTTGGTCGTTCGTGGATTCGGGAAATAGAGGGTCTTGACTACACCGAAGTATATGCTCCTGTGGCACGTTTGGAAGCCATTCGTATATTCCTAGCATACGCTTCCTTAATGGGGTTTACAGTTTATCAGATGGATGTCAAGACAGCCTTTTTGTACAGAATCGTGAAGGAGGAGATTTATGTTGATCAACCGCTAGGGTTTGTCAATCCAAAGTTTCCAAATCATGTCTACAAACTAGACAAGGCTCTATATGGTTTGCATCAAGCTCCTAGAGCTTGGTATGCTACCTTAACTGATCATCTATTGGAGCACGGGTACACAAGGGGAACGATCGATCAGACGTTATTCATCAAGAAAGTGGATGCAGATTTGATTGTCGTCTAAATCTACGTAGACAGCATCATTTTCAGGGATACCAACTCAGAGCTATGCAAAGAGTTCGAGGAAGTAATGAAGAAAAGGCTTGAGATGAGCTCAATGGGTGAAATGACAATGTTTCTTGTGTTACAAGTTCGACAGGATTCGGCCGGAATGTTACTTCATCAAGGCAAATATGTGGAAGACATGCTAGAAAATTTCAAGTTTAAAGATTCAAAAATTGCTTCCAGTCCAATGGCAGAAAGACCACTGTTGACGCCAGATCCAGAAGGAGAATTCATAGATCAAACTAAATATCGATCGATGATCGGATCTTTGATGTATCTGACTGCCAGCAGACCTGACATCATGTTTACCGTCTGTCAATGCGCTCGTTATCAGGCTAATCCTAAACTTTCCCATTTAATTGTTGTTAAAAGGATTTTTAGGTACCTTAAAGGTATCCCTAAATTGGGTCTTTGGTATCCTAAAAATCCCGAATTTGGTTTATATGCTTTTGCTGACAGCAACTATGGAGGTTGTGATTTTGATAGGAAATCTACATAGGGTGGATGTCAGTTTTTGGGGGACCGATTGGTGTCATGACAATGCAAGAAACAGCAAACGGTGTCGACCTCGACGGCTGAGGCTGAATACGTTGCCGCCTCAGCCTGCTGCTCTCAGGTTATCTGGATTCAACACCAATTGCTGGATTACGGTTTGAATTTTCTTGACACCTCCATTTTATGTGATAATGATGCGGCCATTCAAATTGCCAAAAATCATGTTCAACATTCAATAACCAAGCACATCGACATTAAAGTTCATTTTATTCGAGACTGTTATGAGCGTAAGCTCATTCGTTTGGAACAAATTCACACCGATAACAATGTGGTGGATTTGTTCACCAAACCTTTCAGTAAGGCTCGTTTCTATGTGCTTGTGAGTTTTCTGAAAATGATTTCGTTTCGAATATTAATTTTTTATTTTTTTATTTAATTTTTTTTATTTTGTTTGTTTAAATTTTCGCATTTATTTTACTTTCTTTCTTCCCTATGCACAAATTTAGGGGGAGAAACCAAAAATCAAAAAAATTATAAAATCAAAATTTCCAAAAATATGTCTTCTTTCGTAAGTATTCTTAGGAAGTGATATGAAGTTTAGTGTTAAAGGTCAGTATGAAATACGTGTAATGCACTAAAGCTGAATAGTTTAAACTCTGTGTTCAATGTGCTGGTAGGCACGAAGGATTCAAAATAAAAGGACTAGACAATGTTCAAAATGAAAGGACTTGACTGTGTTAACTCATCTAGACTTAGATAGTTACATTTGGACTAACCATACGACGCTTGGATAGATTGAGCAATGAGATAAACAAGGGAGCCTGCGAGATACATTAAAGTTACTTATCATCTAGAACTGTGGTTCAACACTTCTTCGACGTACGGACTTATGTCCTTAATTATGGTGCTGATAGGGTGACTGGGGGTTGTAATAAAGTAGGTCTGTGTGAAATTGTTTTTCTTTCTTATCCTCTAGGTTAGTCATACGTTTCCCCCTTTGCGTGAGTGGAAGAGATCCGACCTGGGACACAACATATGAATCTCTATTTCTATGCATCTCTATCTATGCATCTATGTATCTATCTATATCAGTCATATGTTGTCCTCTCTGCGTGATTGGAAGAGAACCGACCTGGGACACAGCATATGCATCCTTCTATCTCTCTATCCCCCTATTTATGTTAGTCATATGTTGTCCATCTGTGTGATTGGAAGAGATCCGACCTGGGATACAACATATGCATCTCTATATCTATATTCTCTCTCAAATAATTGAACACTCACCTAAAGTAACTAGCTCTTTGGAATTCCTTGATTGCTAGGGTATGTCGTGAAGTTGGGAACACGTTCTAGTGCGTTTAAAATTGAATTGGTTTATGACTAAAGGTTGACTGTAGATCTCGCTACTGAATTTAAGTGTACAATAATATCTTTGATCGTCGTCAACAAAATGGTATATTTAGGAATATAATTGCAATGTCTTGTCACTTATAATCTGTCCAACTTACAAATATCATTTGTGTTTAAGTGGACCACAATATTGGTGATTGACCAGAGCTATCCATGCAGGTGTGTGCTGATAAACAATATTAAATTGTTTGACAACTTTTGATCCCAAAAGTTTTAGATTTAGTTGTTAAAATGTGTTTGTTTATTTTATTTTATTTTTGTTTCTAAAACTTTTATTTTATTTTATTTTATGGCATTTTAATTGCATTCATTTTAAAATTTTAAAATTTATCTTATTTCCAATTTTTTTTTATCTACGAAACGAATTAAAGAAAATAAATTATTAAATGGATTGGGGCCCACCGAATTCTGTGGCCCAAAGGGCCGACAACCCATTTTGGGGGTTTAATAGGGTTTTTCTTCTTCAAATTCATTCACCACCACCGAAATCAACTTTTCTCTCAAAACCCTAAGCAAAAACTCCTTGTTCCCTGTTCATCTTTTCATCCTCAAATCATCAATTTTTCTTGATTCTTCGAAATCGTGACTAGGTATGTAGTTTGCGAGTGACATACTTCAATTTCTATGTCCTTTTCTTGGAGCTTTTGCAGGTATTTAAAGGGTTTCCGGTGAGTTAACGGTGTTTTCCGGCGAAGTTATCAAGGATTTCAAAATTTGAATCATCGGGTTTTCGGTTTGACTCGGATCCGACCGAAATCGATCGAATCCGACCGAAAACTGCTTGTTTTGATTGAAAACATCACCTTTGACCGAAATCTCAAGTTTTACCGACTGAATTCACTTGGTTTCAACCGAAAACATCTTGTTTTGACCGAAATCAATATCTCTTGACCGAAATCAACATTTTGACCAAAAATTTGAATTTTTTGGGAAAATAAAATTTTAATTTTAATTTTTATTGTTCTCACTTGATTAGTTTGGTGCAGATAAATGGCGGATCACTTGAAGTTTGTTGATTCTCACAATATCGCAGGATATCTCTTGGATCCACCTGCCGTGCACAATGAATTCAAATCCATGATCGTGGGTATGAACAATTGCAGAATTTCCCACGCTCTACGTGCCAATCCAATCATACGCAAGGACCTGATTAACGATTTCTGGAGGAATGCATCGTTCAACTGTGTAGAAGCGGATGGTGCTGGTGTTATTGAATCTACTATGAAAGGCAAGCAGATTATCATTACAGAACAAGCCATTCAGGAAGTGCTTCAGTTCGGAGATAAGTCTACTTTCCCAACGGAACTCCCTGCTGCCAAGATCACAAAAGTGTTAAAGAAGATAAATTACGAAGGAATGTTTCCTCCAATAGTCAAGAAAGTACTTCCCCCTTATTGGAGATTTTTGGCCCATACTTTTGTTAGCTTCATCTCTGGAAGAAAGGGTGGGTCGGATGAGATAAGCCAAACAGCAACATCAGCCTTTGTAGCACTAACAATGGATTCGGAGTACAATTTCTCAAAATTCGTTTTTGACGAAATGAAGAGCACCCTTTCTAGGAAAAAGAAGGATCTTGTCTTAATGTATCCTCAGTTTTTACAAATGATCTTTGATACCATGCATCCCGATCTGGAAAGGACCCCCGATACTCTTGATGTCAAATCTTTGGGTCCAAACACCTTTGGACTCATGAAACAAGTACGGAAAGCACCAAAGGTTGTTTTCGAGGGAACAGAAGCTCTAGTGAAATTTGGTAAATTCGCAGAGACTGAAGGTGTTCAAACTGTTGGTACTCCAATTGCCATGGTGGCCGAGGAACATGTGGCGCCATCAAAATCAAATCTCAGTTTTTCGTTTGAGGTTTCTGATGATGATGATGATATTAATGATGATGATGATGATGATGATGATGATGATGATGATGTGGATTTTCGTATGTTTGTACCATCGAAGGAGCCGGCCAATGAGGTTGTGATTTCTCCAGCTGAGACAGAGAAAGAATCAATATTTTCAAGCAACCAAACGATCCTACACCCAAACAAATGGAAACCCTTATCGAACAATTACAGTCAACTGCAAGGAAGCCTCCCCAAGCAGTTCATGTTACTACTCAGTCTCCATCTGGGAGTCATAAAGACGTTTCAAATGCCTCCCTGATGCCAAGAAAGCGAAGACATATAGATCCAAGGCCGGGAGTGCTTATTACTGAACCAGTACAACAACCAACTTCAAATGTTGAACCAGCCCAAGTTATTCAAGATGATCAAAGCCCAATTGTTGAACCAACCTAGGTTCATCAAGATGTTCAAAGCCCAATTTTTTACGAAGACTTTGACTGCTTAGTTAATGAGGAAACTTTTGCCTCGGGAAGCTCTTCTGCCCCACCACCTCCATAGCACGATGTTGCATCTGTCAAGCTAGCTAAGTTACTTGCTTTTCAAGACTCTATTCCTCAGTCAAGAGGAAAGCGAATATCTATTAGCTCAGGGCACGGAGGTGATGAAGACTTTCAACAAACCATTTCTGAGCTCAAACAAGAGATCGTAATACTGAAGCAGGAGTCCATTGAGAAAGAATTTCTAATTGGCAATTTGGATGTGAGGGTTTCTGAGCTTGAAAAGGAAAATCCTCAAAAGAATAAGCAGATCTCAGACCTTCAGGACAATATTGGCGGGTTGACAGCTCTTTATTTTGATCTCAAAGACAAATTAATTGGAAAATTTGGTGATGAGTTCAAGACTTCAGGTTCTGATGATAGAAAAGCTCCATAGACATCTAAAAGAGTCGCAATTCCTCCTGTCCCATATGCTAACATTGATTAATTTCTGTCTTTTGGCCCTTTCACAGCTGAAAAAAGAAGGGAGAAGAAGAGAAAAGTTGATAAGCTGAAGAAAGACAAAATGCTTCTGATGAAAAACTCAAATCAGAAAGCACCTGGTGATCACCCACAGATGTTTATCAAAGAAATTGCAAAGCGAAAATTTGATGACAGATATGGTGATCGTTCTGGAATTCGTATGTAGGGATATGAAGTTGATAAGAAGATATGGTTTGTAAAACGTAAGAGTGGAAACATTGAGTACTATGTGAAGAAGATTGACTTTGTGTCTTGGACAAAAGTTAATCTTGCAGAGCTGGTCCACGCACCGTTCCACAATCCAACAAATTAACCCACAACATGGGCGTTTAAGAAGTTCCTGGAAGACAAAGCAAAGCAGAACTTTAAAGGCTTGAAAACAGCGTCATCGTTCGTTAAAAAGGCCAAGGGTGTCATTGATCCCCGCACCAACAAGACTCTGGTAAATGTTATGTCGCCGCCTACAAATAAAGCGAAAAAGATACCTATTATTCAGCGTTTACCTGATGGCTGTTTTAATGATTTACTATATTGGGTATATGATGAGGCTACAGCTACTGTCGTAATCAAGAGGAAAAAATCATATTCGTCTTGTTGATCCTAGGTATTTGCTGAAATTTGGCGAGCATGACATTCATACTTTATCCAAGCATCAGCTTATGGTGGAAAATGAAATGTTTGAAGCTGCTACAAATGCTTTCATCGACATTATAGCGACCATCATTGATAAGAAGTTGTGGGTAGGAGCATTGGCTGATTCTGATGTTCATCTTGTTGAGAAGCTGTAAAGTCAGCCAGCAATAAACCAAGGGGGAGATTGTTGGGTCATATTTAAATGGTTTATGTTGGACTTATAGTTTATTATTGTACTTGGGCTTAGGTATATTATTGTTAGTGGGCCTTTAGTGTTTTCGGTTATGGGGACCGAAATCACATAAGTGATTTCGGTCAGCTTGGGCTTGGGTGGTGTTAAGGCTTTGTATTAGGTTCATATATATAGTTTTTCAGCCGTTTAGGTGTGCCAGTTGATCATTATTGTGGTATTCGGCTGCTAATATTTTCTTTGTGTACCAGACGATTTCATCTATAAATCATGTGCATTAAGAGTAATTTGTGTATTCTTGAATCACTATCTGATTTATATTTCACATTCTTTAGATAGTTTGATTGATATCTTATTGAGCTAAGTGATTTGGGACTTACAAAACTAAATTATAGGTATAACTTCTAAATTATACAGCAAAGTGTGCTTTCCAAAGCAACTGTCGAAGTCTAATTTGATCAGATATTTTTCCTTTAGATAAGTGATCAAATATTCCTCCGTTCTTCTAGATATCATATGGACACGAGACATGGACAATAATCAATATCATTGTCCAAAATTATGTTTCCTGATTTCCTGATTTGTGATGACGTCATAAGACTTCTAATTGTACATGTCAATTTAGTCTTGGCTGGTCCCAACACTATAAGTCAACACCAAATCACTGAAGGGCCCAAAGATATCGCTTTTCTGGTCAGGGCAAAAGGAACGAATAAAATTTAACTCATATTCTTGTATCCTATACTCACCAAATCATACATGACACTACGTGTTATAACATCAAGTTAGTGATGCGTTTTTGCAATACCAATGTACAAACGACTTGTAAATTACAATTCGTATATCTCTATCTCAAGAATATAAGATGTTATCGTCTCAGAATTACTTGTGATAGAATCCATGAAATAATTCTTCGAGCGTGGGTTTAACCAATACTCAAATCTCTATTTTCTAAGTATTCATGAACATTGTAGCAACATAATTCCTATGTCTAAACTCCTTAGACAATCTACAATCCAATTCATGATAATCTCCATTCCTTACTTACTACCCAAAGTATAAGCGACTGTAGAGCTTCGAATAATGAAATTATTCAGGAAGTAAAACATGCAAAGTGAAACACAATAATAAACTAATTAAATGTGGTCGGATAAATGGAATTCTTAGAATGCGGTCTCAAAACTATTGAATATAAATAATCTCTATTATTTAATCACCATAATAATTACGACTTTTTTCATTGTATAATGTTTCGACTAATCAACTAATCACTTGAACTAAACATCAGCCATGCTATGTTAGGAACATGCATAATATGCCTCTCTATGGTCCTTCCTTTGTGAACAGATCAACGGGACATTATTCTAATGATGCTCATTTCACAATTCCAAATTCTTATCACTATACAAGATTTGATGGAATTCCAACGTAACATGCATTAATCTCCTGTGATATGAAGATTCCAAAGTTTCAAATACCGAGTCTTCGATATTACAGAGTATTCCACTGGAACTTTGTTACTAGAAACAATTCCATGGTAATTTCTAATTCAAGGTACACTCCTTGAACACTTCTCTTTGCATTAAAGTTTCCAACTCACATGTAGATTTTTCAATTATCTCCCATTAAGGAAACATTTCCATATTTCCATATCACCATCAATTCTGATTAAGAACTATCTCAATCCAGAATCATGTCACTATGGTCCATCCAAATTAATATCATACTTCAAACTGTCCACAAGCAACCAGTATTTTGTATTACCTTAGAATGTTCTTGACACTTGTTTAACAACTTTAGGCACACAAAATTCTAGTCATTTTTCTCGCAATGCTCCGAGCATTTGGAAAATTAGAATAAGTGAATATTATAGCATATATAATCGATCCTATATCCGAAGCTTATAGGACTCGACTCATTATATCTTATATAAGGATCTGATATATGTCCAATCTCTTGCTATAATAACTCCATATATTGAATTTCCGATGTTGAAACATTTCAACATGATATTTATATATGTATATGACTAAGTTCTATTAAACTATACAATTTAAAACTTTAGATTCGAAAAGAAGTATGATTACCCTCTCCCTTAAGTCTACTATAGCGAAACAATTCCCAAACTGAAAACTTTGTTCCCTATGAACGGTATTGTCAACATGCAATACTAGCATAACAATTATGCTCCCACTAGCTTTGACATGTAGCCAGAAATTAGTTGGACTTCTATAAATCAATACACTTGACTTTCTTACCGAAGTACAGATTTCTGTTACTCGATACTTCGATACGTCTCCAACTAGACTTGCTAAGCTTATACACCTTCATTGGATAGCATATGTGTGTTTAAAACCTTTTACAAGTCATAGATATATATCTTGAAAGTTCAAACAGTTCCTTGCCATTCCTCACAATTCGAAATATGAAGGGGGATATCATAATCATGTTATGAATTTGAGAATGCATTTAACACATCCAATATCCATATCAATCTTTATCTGACCTTTTAAATCTGTCAGAGAAAGTATTTCCTCATAATCATTCTCATGAATTAGAGCGAATCTTTTTCACTTATATTTTATGGTGCATACGTTCCAATCCATGTGAATCTATCATTTCTAACCTACAATCATAAGACAAGGTTTAAGGCAAAACCAAATTCAAATTTTGCTTTCCTTTATGCACTGAACTTCGCTATTCAAAATTCCTTGCCCTCTAGTAGCTCAAGGGCCTACCAATGCTTCCATGTGGTTAGCAAGCTCAGCTATTTTGATCAATGTACTTTCACTGACCAACGAGTTTTTTTCTTTTGCAGTTAAATGAAAATATAGAACTCATAAGCATTGCCAACTCAACTTGAAGTGCACAGAAATAAGAATGTGCCAACCAAACACGATAGGTTATCAACCTCACGTCGTGTGCTAGCGATAACTAAAAGGTTCATTGTCGATTGACTCTTGAAAGTCTCAAGATCAATACAACTCCCACTGACTTCTTAACATATGAGTTTTCTCTCAAGGAACATTCCTTGATGAGCTGAAATAAATATTCAAAAGTTTGTATGGATTCAAGAAAACACTTCATAGAATAGGTCTCAGTTTATATTTTGTTTCTCGGTTAACGAAAACATCACAACTCCAATTCTATATGTGCTAGAGTAAGAAAAAAAATTTAACTCCACATATTTCGAGGTGTTTTCAACCTTCTTAGCTTGAAAAGAAATTCAAGATATGATTCATAATTACTAGAGCATAGCTCTACAACTTGATTTGGAATGAAGTATGACTCATCTATGATCGAACCATTTCCAACAATGTTTGATTCCTCTTCTTGGACATACAATTGCACTAAGATGTTCTTGTAGGAGTCAGTTGTGATACAATTTCACAATTACTAAGGTCATCATAAAGCATGATACTAAATCATTCTCCTTTCTTCTCAGATTGGATAATCTTTTATCTTTCTTCCTAATAG